TGATGTGGAAGAAAATCGGGTCGACCAATGAGAATTTTGGTCGACTCAGCACGTATCGACGAATAAGTCGACCAGTCGACAAGGACTTTACAGCCCTAGTGTCGCCATCCTTTTTAACAACACTGAGTATTTGGGAACCAAGGAGACCAGTTTCTGGAGTCAGGTTAGTGACTCTGTAAGAGGAAGGGTTATACAGAGAGGCTGAGCAGAAGTCTACCACTCCGTGAGAGACTACTTGAACAAGCAGTTCAACATTTTCAAAGATTTTACAATATGAGGGCTCTGAGGTAGAAGGAGTGCTAAACTGGCCTCACTGCAACTGTGACTTGAACTATTTGTGTGTAACTGAAAGAGAAACTATTGAGATGCCACAAGAATAGGATGTTGAAAGTGGTCTCCTGAGTTCCCAGAAGTTTACAAAGAGGAGGTGGTGCAACACTCTGGTGAACACGCTCTAAATGATTTTTCAACACGTCGCCGGCATCAAAGTTGAGATGTCTGTGTGATTTGTCCACACGCTGTGCTGATGACAGCGACTGCAGCTGTGAATCACACTCCCTCTGATCTCTATCTGAGCAGAGTGTCTCTATGAATCATCACAAAGAGTGACGTCCACCGCCGACAGCAGGTTCATCTCTACAGCGTTCAAGGTCCCACTCCATCTAAAGCTCTGTGATTATGGCCACATAATACAGCCGCCTGTCCAGCAGATAACACACATCAGTGTTTTATAACACACTGTCACTGTCACCTGAAGTATCATTGAGAAAGCAGAGGTGTCTTACAATTACAAACTTGAGGTAAAAACATGATCACCAGATAAACTACGCCACGTTGTTGGACATCTTAAATACTGGCACAGATTTAAGGCTTTTAAACCCATTTATAGTATGACACAGCTTATATAGCAATCATGTTTTTGACTGGCCCATATTAAGCAAACTCTGTTTGTTATCTTTGTCAAATCTTGGTCCAAAAATTGCTCTGAGTGCGTCTGCGCAGTGGCAAAGACAGACAATTATGATGGTGATGACCAAACCCAATTGTTTTAGCGGGTCCTAGGGCTGCACAATTTTGGCAAAAAACGAAATACAGATTTTTTTTGTACTTAAAAATGTATTTTTGATTTTTATTCAATGACAACTTCACCAAACTTCACTTTAACAATAAGCTTTTCTATCATCTCTCAAAACGCAACCACTGAAAACGATGTAGTGCATACCCTAAGCCAGTAAGTGGCGCTGTCACGCTGCCAAGGAATGGCAGAAAAGACAGAAGAAGAGTACAGAGCATGCGTATAAAGGTTGTTTTGGCCGGACATGCGCAGGCGCCATAAGAGTCATGCTGTGTGTCACATAATTGTTTTGAGAGATGCAGATAGGCATCCACATGAAATGGTAGTTGTTTACGGATTTATGAACTCTCTGACCCATTTTCAAAAAGCACTGTTTACAGTCACCTGAAACGCCGTTTCCATGTGGATGAAACGCCAATATGACAAAAAACGTTAGCATTTATTTAGAATTCATTTCCGTGTGGACAGGTTGATACCGCCGTCAGACAGACTTTGCAACAGGGAGTGGTTTGCTCTTTGTCCGAAACTGTGAAGCCAAACAAATTCCACACGACTGACTTGCTCTTGTCCTATTTAGCCACGAAATTACCGCCTTCTTTTGCAAACGCCACGTTTGTTTTCAGACTTTTAACTCCAATGATGTTTGAGCATTAGCACTGACAGAAACCCTGGTTTATAAATACCTTAAGTTTGAGAGTTCAGTCTTGTTAAAAAACATAATCACCTATATTATATGCTGCTCTCCGCTTTGATAAACAGTGTTTTCTGTCATATTTTAGTTGTAGTTCTCCATTGAAATCTCATTTGCTGCCAAAGTCAGATAATACAAATGGCATAACTCAACACTCTCTGCTGTTTTTTTAAAAGGAAGCAAACTTGGTATCGCAGTCACATGTCAGAGGAAAAGTGTAGACATTACAGGACCGACCTGCAGAGTGAATAACAGCTGTCTTTGTTCAGTTAAATAACTTTGGTCTGTATTCACAGAGCTTTGAGCAGCAGCAGCTTGTTACCTGAGGGGTCAGCCTCAGACAGAGGAGAAAGGAGCTTTTCAAGGATCACTGCAAAGGCCCTCAGATCAAGAAAGACGACACAACTACAGTAATTGTTTGTTTCTCTAAGCGTATCAAACACTGTGCTCCATTAAGAGGCCTGCGAGGTTTCTTTTCATGGGCTTTTAAGCTTTTAATGCTTTACCTGTGTGATGGACAGCTAAGAAGAAACATTTTGAATACCTGACATGTTAAACATTCAACTTCAAGCTTTTTTTTGCTGCATTTGCTTTATGCTTTCAATGAGACAGACATTAATGTTGAGTCATACTGTCTGCTGACTTTATGTTTCATGAACCGAGTTCGTGTACAGCATCTCTTCTTGCTTTCCCCGTATTATCTGTGGATGATTTTGTCACCTCCCCCAGAATTTGAAACCTTGTCTGTTATTTGGAGTGACCTTGACATCCACCCAATGACAGCTGGGATGACCCCGCCCCCTCCACAACCCCAGGTGGGATAAGAGGTATTGATAATAGTTGGACTATTGGTTGTAGCATTAGCCAATCAATATCCCTACAGGATCCTAACATCCTGCTGTAACTAAGTAGAATTTTTGTTTGTTTTTCTGTGCATGCAAGTTAACGGTAAATTACTGTTCTCTCATGTTGACAAAAAGAAAGCATGACATCCAAATAACAGCTTCACTTTAGGTTTTTATTAACACACCTAGTAGTGATTCCTGCATACCTCACATTCCACGGACTCATAAGTATTCACCTTTGGCTATCTTTCTGGCTAAATATTAGCTTGTTTTGGGAATCTCAACTGTGCTTTCAGCGTCAAAAATGCAGTTTGAGCTTTCACAAACCTTTGCCTGCTAAAAAGGGACTTTCCTTGACAGGTTTTAGGAGTTTGGGGACTTTTTGCTCTCTGTTTAGTTCCAAGAAAGATAACACCTTGAGGGGCACTAATGTTGGACCACACTTACAAGATAATGTGAGACGGTTTTGGATGCTTTGTTTGAAATCTATTAGATCAAAAAAAGCCTCCTCTTCGAGCTATCTGGCCGATGAAAACTGCCAAAAAAAAAGGGAAATTAAAGCTCCTATAAGAATAAAACAGATTAATATCAGCAGTGATGGATCTCTTTGAGGGGAGCAGGACAACAGGAGAAGATATTTTTGTCAATAATAACACTTTTACAGAGAAGAGACAAAATCAGCCTCGACCCAATAATTTTTACAGTGTCCTGGTGTAGGTTATGTGCCAAGCTCAGATAGAGATAAATAAGAAGTCAACTGAAAAGAAGTCACTTCAACTTTTAATATACCTGACTCTGAGCTGACTTAATGAACCATTTTGGATGACCACATACAGAAAATGTGGATTGTTTTAGGGATGGTGTAAAGATCGACCAGCGCCACTCATGAACCATTCACTTCATCTATGTGTGTGCTCTTTCCCCTGTCGTGTGAGGGTATTCAGTGGAATCTGAAGAGCTCATTCACCCCGCTCTGTGACCACTAAGCTCATTCCTTACAAAACTGAAAGAAGCTCTGAATGTGGTGGGAGAGTATTTGAGTGCTCATACCCACACAGTCCCCCCCTGGGCCTTCTTACAGTTGCAGCAGCTAAATCTGTTTCCAAAGCTTACGTAAGACAAGGCGAGACCTCGGTGCCAAGTCCCATCAAACCCTTGGGGGTGCCCCCTTTGTGAATAAAATTTCTGAGTGGAGATGCTGAATATGTGTGACCTTTTGTGAAGTGCACGGCGAGGAGCTGCCTCCTGAGCTCTCTGGGGTATTAACCTTATCTTATAGTCACATAATAGCCTATTGACTGCTGAAAATGTCCATCCCGTGGCTTCAAGCTCAAAAGCTGCGGATGTCTTTTTCTCTGGAAGAACTTTAAGGAACGGGGAGGCATCAACACCCTCTGAATTATGGGTAATTTTCTTGACTGTTATTTCTTCCCCTCGGCTGCCATTGCCTACATCTTTATGGACTCCAGTGGCAGAGAGGCTGTTAGCCACACGCTGTTTAAGGAATGTGAATGTTGCTAGCATGACATTGCCTATATTTGTCTGTTATCTTACTTTCTGTGTTGTCGTACCCAAAATAGCTTTAATGACAACACACGCCCTCTATTTTTGTGGAAAGTTATCATTGTGTTAATTTACTGAGGTCACTAGTGTCATTCGATGGTCAGGTGACGATGAGATCGCCCTCTGCTGAATCAAACAGCAAGGTACATGAGCCATATTTTCATGGGCAAAATTTCTTTATCCAATCAAAACTTTGAGGGATCGAAAAATCTGAGTCTACTGTTTATATGGGCGCCAAATCAAATAATCCTATCATGACGTGTGTATGTACCAAGATTTATTCAGATTAGAGGCATTTGGACGTGTGCAAAGTTGTCTAATTTCGCTAAAACCGTAGAGTTGTACTGATGCCTGTGCTGTCAACAAACCAACAAACGCAGTAGTGGCTGACTTAACCCAATTCCGGAATCCCCCCCCCCCCATTAAATGTTGTCATTAGATGACGCCCTTGCTTATTTTACTGTTCTGTCCGATAATGAAACCTCCTCTACTGGCCTCAATAGATAAACTAAAGGCTAAAGAGTGAAGACTGAGTCAGGTTAGAGAGTCATGATCGGAAGAAGTGTTAACGTGGATGCGTTTTGGAATAATGATTGGCATAAACCACCCCTCTTGATCGGAATACAATTTCTTTCCGATTGAGCCGAATTGGATCAGAATCTTCCGATCGACATATTTACAAGATACATTTGTATTCCGATCGGGCCTTTATTCCGATCATTTGTTCCCATGTAAACGCAGCTATAGACAGCCTGATGGATTGTTCAAAGTGTTGGTTTTTAATTTTCCCCCGTTTGAATGCAGACTTAAATTTCATAAAAAGTGAAACATCTTGTCACTGGTCTAGGGAAGCAGCTCATCAATCTGGTTTATTGATTGATTGAACAGTGATTAAATCAGATCAATAGAAAGTGACATTAGTCTACATGGCCATCAGTAAGATTTGTTTTGAAAGTGCAACTGTCACGGCTCACCAGTTTCATAGTTGACCACCATCAGATGTTGCCACTGCCAGCTAAACACCTCTGACCAAGTTTGGTCCATGAAGCTCCAAATGAGAACACTGGCCAATTCGTTATCTGTCTGTTAGGAAATGAGGCCTTACAGCAGTGTCAAAAACAGTTTGCACCATTATATCACAACTATTACTTTAGTGCTGAAATATTCAATACAATCAAGTGAGAATTTAAGTAAAATAAGTTAATAAGGTGTTGTATATAAATTAGTCAAGTTTGGTATCTTAACCTGGGGATCCAAGGGAATTGACTCACTGTTGGAGTTGGTCTCAAGTGGCCATTTGAGGAACTGCAGCTTTTGTCGCTTCACCATCAGCTTTAGTTTGAGTGTTTGCTGAACATTTTGATCTTTTCCTTTCCAAACTTTTGATCTCTTACTTTTGTCATTAAGTCAGTTTGCCAACTGTGAAAACCTAGATCATTTAAAGCATTTCACATCTTTACCCTACAAAAGCCTGTCCAGTCTGCGGAATAAGGTATACCATGAACATACTGACTTGGATGTATAAGTACAAGAGAGCTATCTGGTTTAATTTGTGTTTGATCGTACTGTATGCATGCCACCTTGTCTCATCTCTTTTCTTTTAACCACCAATTATCCTTCCTGACATGTCTTTGGCTGCTTCTTCTGTAACATTACAAAGTTAAACTAAAACATATTATTATGTGTTTATCTTAAATTGTGTTTTAATAGAATATAAACCCAAGAACTAGCCTTGGCCAATTTAGTCTGTCTGGAGGCTATAGAGGGATTTTAACCACATAAAGACTGTAAATACCCCATAATTGCCCCAACTTGCCCACAGGCTTATCCCTTCTCACAAAATGAGTCGGATCAAAGTTTCGTTTGGGGTTGGGTATCATATAGACTGTCAAATCTCTGATAGATGCACATGCACACCCTTCATAAGATGTCCTGAAGGACTAGGACTTTCTCTCAGTTGATTTCTTTGTATTAAAGAGAGGAAGACATGATAAAGTCTGAAACACCATCCATGTTTTCACAACACATTAATCCCCTGCATCACTAATGATCAATAATGTGCTGACGTTATTGGACGAGCTGACCGGTCGCCTGTGATTCCCATGTTGAATCCTAATGTTCTGCTTTCTGCAGCTGTGTGTGCACGCAGAGGAGGATCCTCAGGAGAGCAGCGCTACAGCTGAGGCCCGGCAGGTCCGGCATGGACCTGTGCATGTGCAACGTGGTTCAGGAAATAATACTTGTGTAACAGGAGCCTTTAAAGAAACATTTAAACTATATTGTCAACCGGAATACATCGGCAGTAATGTTACTGACAGGAAGGAAACAACAGATAGGGATTCAAACTGCCAATAAAATCTGAAAAACTAAGAACTAGAGGTATTACAAAAAGCACAGACAGATTTTTCACAAAAGAATGCAAATTTAAAAAACTATGTGGTCATAAATGGTATTTTTAATTCATAAAAAAGACCCTCATTGTTTGATAGCTCAAAACCCCATTAGCTGCATTACTGTTTTAATTCAAGGATCAAACCACAAACTCAAAGCTCAGTCTTCCTTTGTACCAGATAGGATTGCAGCTGTTACTTGTTTTAGGAAAGAAAGAAAGAAAGAAAGAAAGAAAGAAAGAAAAAGACAGAAAAAGAAGTAAGAAAGAAAGAAAGAAAGTAAAAAGAAACAAATAGATAGATAGATAGATAGATAGATAGATAGATAGATAGATAGATAGATAGATAGATAGATAGATAGATAGATAGATAGATAGATAGATACTGAGCATATAAAAGGCTGATCCTAGTTTTCATTGTTGGGATTTGTTGCTTGAAGACGTACACGGGCTGAAGAATATGTTGCGTGTCGCTCAACAATGACGCTGCTTGATATGACAAACCATTTTGCTCTGTAACATGATAGAGAGCAGATGTAGGCTACATGTCGTGAGCAGGTATCTCAGGTTCATGCAATAAGGAATGTCCACCATTGTTGTGCGACATAAGATCCAACCCTCAGGAGAGATCCCGTCCTCTCTCTCTGACACACGAAGAGTCCATAAGAGCCACAGTCCTGTTAGCAACCATATGGGACAGTGAGGAGATCCTCTGACAACACTCTGCTGAGGACACCATCACCCTATGGGAGTATTTCACAGATAAAGGCCTTCAACTAAGTACTTCCTGCTTTTTCTTCACATAGGTACAAAGTGCAGCTCCGACAATGAAACGCAAATACTTTCAGTGTAAAAGTGAAATGGATCGTTTATCACTGACTTCTTGAACAAACCAAACAACTGCTATAGAAAAGTTTTGTTACGCCTCACTATTCCACCATATAGAGAAATATCAGAGAGAAGGCAAGGCAAAAGGGAGCCTGGGAATGAAGCTTGTTTGGAAGCGAGCTTGGCCCCACAGGGTTAAAATCTAGACTCTACTGCCCTTTACTCCTTGATTTTGATAAAGGGAGAGAGGAGAGAGAAATGGGATCAAAAGTAAGATTCTTCACAAAAGTAGACCAATGTTTGTGGATTTACCAGCTCTAGATATTTACAAATGGCTTCCAAATTTCTATCCAACGTAGGGGTCACCATGCATGACAGGGTTAAATCTAGCAACTCCAACACACTGAGCTATCCCACCTTAAAGGGATACTCCAGCATAAATTCAAGTTATGGTCAAACACACCGAAACATCAAGTTGGACACCCCTTCAAGAGATGAATGTTGCTAACTGCTTGCTTCTCTACCAACTTCAGTAACAACCACACGATAGCAATACATTGCGGTCTACGTCTCCACCCGCAAACCTCAACCAAAACGCCACTGTATAGCCACAAATAATGCTCAGAACAGCACCTCACTTCATGACAGGACATGGTCCCAGCCATAGTACTAGCCATCAAACATCTTTTAGCTTTGCCTGATTTCTTTAGCAAAGAGACCAAACACAACTCACCCACTCTCCTCCAGCAGCCGCTAACGAGAGAGTGCAGCGGAGTTTCACAGCTCAAGGAAGAACATTTATGACCATCACTTCATGGAAATGCAATCAGAGTTCTTGTGTATCGTGTATGTGCACTGCAGACACGGTAGTTGCCTTAATGTCTCGGTCTGATTGCATTTCCATGAAGTAATAATCATAAATTCTACACTATACTCAGTGATCGATTTACAACAATTGTTCTGTCAGAAGGCTCAAGGTGGAACACTTCAGCAAGTCACAGTAGAGAAGAAAGACTTCCTTTAACAGGCAGAAACCTTGAACAGAATCAGACTAATGCATAACAGTCATCTGCCACTACTGCACTGGGTTTAAGGGAGATGAAGAAAGAGAGAGATGGACAGAGGTGAGACTAGCGAATGTCGTTGAAGAAACCTGAAAGCAGGCAGGTACTGGGTTGTTGTGCAAAGAAGAATCTCAAGAGGGTTAGACAAGACCAATCAGAATCAAGTATTTCACACAGCCAGGTCATTAGAAAGAAAGAGGGGTGGTAATTTTAGAACAGCGGCTGTGATAATGGTCACAGCAGCACTTAGCACACTGACCCATCTGTCCATCCAGCTTGTAAAATCCACAATCACCACCCTAACTGACTTATCTTTGGATAAAGGATCAAACGATATAACCACTGCTGCACAGGAAGAAGAAACCTAACGCAACATTTCCCATATACTTCTAACTCTTGACTATTCATTGAATATTTATCTTCATCGTTGCTTTGAGTTATTTTTATTCTTCTCCTGAGCTCAGTATTGTTTTTGTTCATCTGAGCTGAAGATGCGTTATGAAGGAGCCGCTCATCCAAGAAATGTACATCGATGATTCATCTTAACCTATTTTGCTGTACATCGTAGCTACAAGCGTGAACACGAAGTTCCTCATCGGAACGGCGGTGATATAAGAGGATGACAAAGCGATTCTGTCAAACACACGGCGCAGCTCTATTTGTCATTTTCCTGGATATCTTGTGTAATCTTTTGGCGCTTGCTCTCTTCACTGTTGGCCGCATGGAAAACAGTAATCGAGGAAGTGGAACAAGAAATAGTACAGGAATCGGTCTGGTTCTTTGGGAGAAGGTTTAACGTCTGGAAAGGTCAGGGAAACTACAAACATTTGAAGGTTTGCAGTCATACTTTTAAAGTTCATGACTTAAAAACAGCTGTAGGTGGTAGAAGTGCTGATTTGTGACCCCAGTGTTGTATTTCAACACATCAGCTCCTTTGCAAGATGTCACAACCGACAAGATTAGATGTTTTTCACACAACCATTAGAAGTAAGGCGATAACGTCACGTTTAAGTCATCTAAAGTGTTTAGGATGCTATTATTCTAGTGAGAACTCACAGTGGTTTTTTTAAAAAAGCTGGAGTGCTGCACGAGGAAGAGGAGGAGGACAGATGAGCTTGGTTAATTTTCACACTTTCATGTCTCTGATAGGTCGTTCATTACAGTCGGTGAGTAATGTGTGCAGCTCTCCTGAAAAATGCATCATATGTACATTACCACCAGTCCATCTAGCTTAGCATTTTAGTACGGTGAGATAGCATGCTAATGTTTGCGTATGATACTAGCGAGAAAAAGACCGATTTCAGGGCTTGAAGTTGAAAAAATAAGGAGCACACTAAGAACTTTAGGGGCACAATAAAATTTGATCAAATAATGTGTCTTACTGGTCGACATAAGTACTATTATTTGAAATCAATTTTAGGTCAAGAAGTCACGTGGCATGGAAGCTATTAAAGAAAATGTTCAAAATTTGCCTTTAAATTTAACACAAAAACTTTTTAGAGGACAAACTCTGGAAATAAAGAGGTGCGTCATTTTGTTCGTCCTTAGTACTATTATTTGAAATCAATTTTAGGTCAATTGGTCACATGACATAGCAGCCTTATTTTTAGAAAATCATCCGGTAATTTATTGATGGTCCCTTATTCAACACCCGACGTTGTCAGCGAGGGTGCCGGGTAGATCTAACCATGCTGCTGTTGCTATTCCCAGTTATGGAGCGTTAGAAGACACTGGTCGATCTGCAGTGACTGTCCGTCGGATATCCAAACTTAAAACTAACTTCACTACGGTATTTACATGAAAAAGCATTTGTTGCCTCCGCCAATTTTTTTTTTTATGCACACATGTGCGACTAAATATATTTTACAATCCACACACCTATTTTTAGTGGCAAATGCGAGTGAAACAGTCGAACTGTCGAGCCCTGGATTTTTTCGCATCTTCGCTGGTCTCACATTTGGGCTTATTCTGACAAAACAGTAGCTCCTACAGAAGCCAAAAGCTCCCTACAGGAGCTTTAAAGTGTTACACAGATATCAGCAGTCTGCTATACTTCATGTTTTTTTTACATCGGTCACTGTGTAGCCCCACATCAGACAAATCAAAGTAGCCTCCTGTAATGAGAGTGTAGTACCTTTATGTTTCACAGGTGTTTATTTGAGAACACCCGAACAAAGACAGGCTGATAAATCATAGGAACATCAAGTCCTTTTATTTACTATAATTAATCCAATGTTCTAAGAAATTATACCACTATGATTGGCTGATGGCCAGAGCTCTATACTGCAAAATCAAATTAGGTCAGGATTGGAGAGTTAAAAATGGAAAAGCACACGTGAGATGATCCAGTGAAATCTGACGGATTCATCACAGGTGTAAAATATCTGATTATGGCGGATGGCTTCATGCCGGGCGACACTTTAACACTTTTAATAAGCAAAAAAGGCGTGGTGGAAGTGGAAAATTTATATATATGTCCACACCCACTGTGAAAGTAGAAGTTAGAGGATCCTCCAGATGAGTTTTTAAAGCTTTAAAATGATCTGTGCAGAGTTATGAAACATACTTTAAGTCTTTTTTACTCTGCCTGATAATAACTTCTCTTCTAACACCTGGCACTCTGTCTTATGTCTGAGTGTTTGGTATGAAGTAAATTCGTCTTCCCTTTCATGCTCTGCTCCTTGGTCTAAGTGCCCCATCTAAACACCCACGCTCTGCCATCTTCCATCAGCCCTGATGAAGATGGCAGAGAGTGCAGTCCCAGCTGGTGCCCCCTCTTTGTCTTTAAGTGGTTTTAGAGCCACTCGTAATGTTTTTTAAGAAAACCCTGATAGGACTGGAAGGACAGCACTCCTGATGTTTCCCCTCTCAAACTTAACGGACATGTGTTACAAAGCCAGGAGACTCAGTCAGAGTATAACATGTTTATGTTGGGTAAAGAAAAATATGCATCTTTTTTTCAAGCTAAGAAACCCCCTGATTTATTCGTTTAATTATCTAATGAATGAGACAAAAACCCTCTGCTTTATGCTGGGGTCCTGTTTTCTCTCTCTGGGGTTCCAGTCTTTGGCAACGATACCCTCATTTTACAGCAATTCCTCGTAAAATAAAAAACTAGGATACAGCATTAGGTTGCATTGTGAATAACCACCAGAGAGCCATAAAACTGACTAAATTCAGCACATTCGTGATGACCTTGGACACAAACTGTGAGCCACCTGTAGAACCAGGTTTCAAAATCTTAGAGCGAGCTTTTCTATGAAGATGTAGGCTTTTGTATCAGTGGATAAAACACATGACCTGAGTCCATACGCGCTGCTTTTATACCTGGAAAATGAGGCTACCTGTGGTTTGGCTGATGTCATGTGTAGAATGTTAATTATCACCTTTGTTATATAGGGGTTACGCACACAGCAGGTCAGTATAGAGTTACACCACAAGGTGAGGGATCTTACATGTGCAGGCTGAAGAGGATGTCAAAACGCTTTAACAGTCCAACAGTAAGAAGGGCTGAAATTGAAAAAAGACAACTTGAATTATCCAGGTTTTATAAAACCTCGAGGTGATGTTGAACTGTGGCCAGCAGATGGCGGAGTAATCTAAGTGTTCAGAGCCTTGTGGCTTTCTCTGCTGTGTCTGCATGTTCACAGAGGTGCTAAGACTATTTGGAAACCTGGATAAAGCATCAGTATGTGTCTGGTTTGATGAATGAAACACAAGGGAGACAGCTTAAAAGAACATATTTCCCATAACTGATGTTACACAGTAAATAACACAGTTTCACAGCTGCCAAAGCAACTTTTTTTCGTACAAAAGTTTGGCAGACTTCAACAAAGAGCAGTGTGAGTGACTTCATTCACTAAATAACAACTGTCCTGTGCACAACTACAGAGTGAAGGGGAGTGTCTTCTCACAAATAGAAGAACAGACTGACAGATCGGACTTTTCCTTCTGAAAAGCATTCTGGGAGTGCTGCCATACTACATTTTTCATGCCTGTAACAAAAATGGAGCTGAAAAAATATCAATGCTGCCTTTCAGCTTTTTGGAGATGAGTCTCATTTCTCCTTGTATGATGGTAACTATTTGTTTGCTTTTTTTTATCATCTTCTTTTTTCTTTTTTTTTTTCATTTTAAGAGCACTTTGTCACTCTGTTTTGAAAAAGACAAAAGCCTGTTATTATTTTAATCAGTATTTCGATTTTGGCATATGAGTTGGACATGAAATGGATGTGAGATGAGACACGCTGCACATGTGAGCAGTCTGAGCAGTCTTATCTGTCAATATGCACAGTGAAAAAGAAGTCTAATTTCTTCTTTCATTCATCTAAATAAAGTGTGTGCACCTGCTTCTCTATAAATCCCTGAAGGAAATGACACCTAAGCGGTGCTGCCCTCTTGTGGACTCATTAGGGATTGCCTTATTTAAGTTCTGCACTATTTGTTCCAGCACACTAAAGATTCATGTCACATAAGTTCTATTTCATGTGCATATGTGAACAACACTCCCTGATCACCTATAGCCATCGCTCCCATG